TTTTTTTTTGCGGAACTGGGGATTGAATTCAGGCGCTTGCATTTGCCAGGCAAGTGCTTATTCTATTGAGTCATCTCCTTGGCTCCTGGTTTTTGTTTTTTTTTTTAAGTGTTAGAATTCTAAGTTTCCCAGACAAAGAGTTACAATCAACAAATTTTTTTCTATCATTATCTTTAGTGAAATCTACTCAAGCTGTTTTTATTTAGCCACTAAAAATTTTCATTTTGAACTAAATCTTCTGTGAGAGTTCATTGGAATATTAAAAATATCTTAAAAGCTATATTTATGACATTTAAATATTTCAATACAACATTATACTCTTTAGAATATAATTTAAGTATATACGTAATCACAAATTTTAATTTTTTGGCAATATACCAAGCATATCGCTGACAAGTGTAAACATTGATAAAGAAACTAACCAATTTTGTTGGGTTTGTTTTTGAAGGTATTAATTAATCTCCGCAACCCAAATTATGAAAATGGTGATTCTCTTAGTTTCAGGACTCATTTGGGTTTAATCCAAGTTCCTCTCAAAGTAAAAGATATCCCTGAATTGGTAAGTACAGACATTTGAAAATAAATTAGCATATATTAGAAGACACCCGTTAGAAAAATGTTCATATGACATGTAGCTAAGTCAACAGAGTAATACTGTCATTAAACAAATTAACAAAATGAAAGTTCTTATTTATTGCAAATATTTTTATAGAATTAGTTGGTTTGCTTGTAGAACTAGAACTGAGCTTACATTGATTTGTAGATGCCTTGATTATTCTTTATTTCAATAAACAATAGATTTGAGACAGCTTATTGGAACTCAGGTGCTTGATATATAGCTGTACAAATGATTAAGCAAATTGTGAGTTTTATAAAATTATTTTTAAGGAAGCACATTTTATTTAATATAACCAGGATTCATGGAGCTCCGTAACCAAGGGAGACAGAGATGAATTAGAGACTGTCTTTGCTTTGGAAAGCATCACATTTCTGTGAATTAGTTTTAAAAATGAAACAAGGGGGATTTCCAGATGGTGGGATTAAGATGTTATCATTCCTTATCCTTTTGTTAATCACCCCAAAATGGTAAGGAGCACAAAACTATAAGTACTGCCTATGGGGAAAGTAGGAAGGAACTTATAGCTCTGACCCCTAAAGTATTAAGATAGAGAGCTCATGATTAATAACTTAAATAAGGGATGAAGGTCAAATCCAAATTTTCTAGACAATGGGAAATGTGAGTGAGAAATGTGCTACTAATCAATTTAATCTTTTATATTTTTAATTAATTTTGTTGAGAAAGAAATAGCAATAAGAATGTTTCAAAACAGGTTAATAGGACAGTTAAAATAATTAATACATTACATATTGTTGCCTTTATAGTAGTTCTTCATAGTACAAGATGCAGACATGATAACTTGTCTGAACACTATTAGTACAAATCTTTCTTCTCACTGAACTAAGAGAAAGTAGCTGTATATCTGTGCCACATCCATTTTTTTGTTCTTTGCCTTAATATAATGGAGGTGAACCCTATTAGCATTTTCCCCTTGCCAGCTGGCCTTATCAATAGAGGATTCTCAGGGACAAGCTCTAGCAGGAACAAGGGCCTCCCTCTCCTGTTCTGTGTACAGGAACAAGCACATAAGCAAGCAAGAAGCCTGGTAATCCATCACACCTCAGTATGTCTGCTTGAGCCTATGTTTCATGGCAGTTACCCTTCTTCATGTTCCATTTCCTCTCTACATAGTTAAATTAAAGGGTCTTGCTGGAGTAGAGAGGGGCCTAAGTCTTATGAAGGAAAAGAGACACGGAAGAGAGCTACACAGGGAAACGCCACACAACAGTGAAGACAGAGTGGAGGGATAATCTGTAAGCAAGGTATACCAAAAGTCACAGCAGCACTAGAGTAAGTAAGACTCCAGCAGCACTGGAGTCTTCGGGAAGAACATGACTGTCTCAGTTACTTTTTACTTGTTGCTTGGCAAAATATCCAACATTCTGAATGTACCTAAAACCAGTGTCACATGGATAATGCCAAGGGATGCTGCCATCTGGAGCAGTAGCCAGGATTTCTTCTCTTGGGTGTAGGGGTTAAGTGCCTGGATTGCTCAGCACTCTGATCCTGATTCCAAGGAATAAATTCTCTATGCCAGTGCCATTCTGGAATCTGGTGTGGCTGCCGCCTCCATTCTGGAACCCAGTATGGTCGCCACCTCCATTCTAGAACATGGGACTCTGCAGCTTTCTCCTCAAAGCAAACTCTTTCACCCTTGTGATTCTGAGGCTGTAGAGGGCAAGAACCTGCCATATCCGGTGATGCTCTCAGGACATCTTTTCTGCTCTCCTGTTCTTCCTAGGCAATGGAGATGTCAGCTCTATCTTTGCAGTCCACAGCCTTCCTAGTGCTTCCTTTCTGGCCAAACTCACAACATTTTAAATCATCCTGCTGGGCTCTTTGTTCTTGACTCTCAATATATATCTGACTAAAACCCCTAACAATAACCATGCCACTGCCTCAACATTTGACTGCCTTGAGATTTCTTTTCCAAATCAACTAGTCCACTGCACTTAATGTCAGTCTGAGGCAAAGTCTCTGGACACAAGCCAAATGCAGACAAACTTTCTGCTAAGCCATAACACAGATCACCCGTAGTCCAACAACCAGTGCAGTCCTTCTTCCCAGCGGAAACCTCTACAGCCTGGTCTTTACAGCCAGGGTTTCTATCAGCATTTTGGTCTTCTGAGCTCTGACCAGAATGCCCTATACAGAAGGGCTGAAAGCACTCCAGCTCTTTGCTGGGAGCTGACATCTCCAAATGTTTCCTATTTCTTCTCATAAGTTATTCCCAAAAGCTCTTGAACAACATGGTCAGGTGGTCACAGCAATGATCCCACTTCTCTGGTACCAAATTCCATCTCAGTTATTTTTACTCATTGCTGGGACAAAATACCCAATACCCAATATTAGGGAAGGAAAGATTTATTCAGCTCACAGTTTGTGGAGGTTTCATTCTGTACTTGGCTGGCTCCCAGGCAGACTGGCGCATAGCAGAAAGCAGCAGTTTATGGCAGCAGAAAGCCGTGAAAGCAAAGAGAAGGGCAGCAGCTGTGGCTTCTAGTCGTGCTCTCCCCCCTCCTCATATTATAAACAAGCTACCCTGGGCTGGGGGTGTAGAACTCACACAGTGCCCATGCCCTCATTTTGCACAGGATAAGGATGTTTACAAACTAAGAATCCTGACTCTCTGCTGAGTCACTTAATCAAACTGCTCAAGTTGTCACAATGTGTCAACCAGTACAATGACCTAAAACCTTGATTTTGGATTTTTTTTTGCCTTCAGAACTATAAGAATAAATTTCTGTTGTTTAAAGCAACCCTGTTTGTGGTACTTTATTTATGGAAGATCTAGGAAACTTTTATATGATATTTGATAGTTGGAATTATAATTTTGATAAAAAATAACTTAAAAGTTATCTTTAAAAAGTGTTTCAAGCCCTATCAGTAGAGGTTGATACAAAGTGAGCCTATGGTTCTTATGGATGAGCCTACCTAACATCATAATTGAATCACAGAATTCACTGAGCCTCACCAAATTCAATCAATTAAATAAACTAAATACTGTGAATATCCAAGCTCAATACTCATACAGACAGACCAGTCACAGATCATCCATGCATGTTGGCATCACTGTTGTAACATCACCAAGCAATATGGTACAGGACACACAGGGACAACTATCCCTCATGAATGGAAAAGAAAAGAAGTAGGACTCTTGGAATGTACAGCCATAATTCCTTGAAAATTAGTCATACAGGCTTTTGGTTCCACAGTAATTAAGAACAAATCACATATCATAAGAAAAGAAAGTTTCTTAAAACTGAGATTTTATTAACTCTGCAGTGAAGTTTTGACTAGTTCAGTAGTGTGAAGGCAGCAGGTTGGTACTAGAATTCTGCAGTATTATTTGATAAATGCCCTTTGCTATGTAAGGCACTGTGATAAGTACAGGGGTTTTGAAATATATGTAAGAGACAGTCATCATCTTCCAACATATGCAGGCTAGTGGAGAGATGAATAGGGGAAGGACAATTGCAAAACACAGTGTGACTGTGTGAATAGAAGTTGGTAGGTGTTAATGTGCACACATCGATTATTGCTATGTCTGTATGGAATATTGAGGAAGGCTTCTCGGAAGATGTGATGCCTAAAGGTGGGTTTTGAGGAAAGTCTGATACTAAGGCATGTGTCTGCTGATGTTGCAAAAAAAAAAATCGTCCAGAGCAGTGAGTTAGAAAATGGATGTCCAGTTTTCTGTTTGTACATCTCAGCATGTTTTAGCATAAGTAAAGCTCTCCATTTGATTGTAGAACTTAATATTAAAATGTTTATTGGCCCTGAATCCTTTTGTGGTATGAAATAAATATTTCATTTATTTTAAAATGAAATAATCACTGAAAATTTAATGACTTCAGTAAAATAAGAGTGTCACAAAATAAACAGAAGACAGTAGTTAAAATGAAGGAATCATACTGAAGTGTTTAGTTATTAAAATTGGCAACATAAGTTGCAGCACTTTAAGTATAGATAAAAGCAACTTCAGTTAAAAATTGAGATATAATACTTAAAATCAAGAACAATGAAATGTATGTGTATGTATGTGTGTGTTGGGTTGAACAACTAAAGGACTTTAATCATTAGCTTAATAATAGATATTTAGGAAAAATTAAAATTAATTCTGTTTTTAAGGGGAAGGAAATATATAGTTTTAGAAATTAGAACAATTAACACACCACTAATGTTTACATTAATTGAACTATTTATTTACATAGGAAATACAAATAATATGATCAATATGGGGTTATATGTTTATAAAAATATCAGACAAATGCAATTATTTTCTTTCTAGACATTAGTAGGTAGGTAGGTAAAGTCTGGAGAATATACCTAATTTACCATTTATTTTAGCAAAGCACTTGATACTCCAGTTTCACTTAAGGTTACATTTAAGTTGTTTTAGATTATTTGTAGTATTTAATTAAGATCTGAATAAAGTACCATATCATAGAAACCACAAATACACATTTACATTGGTAATTTTAGCCATGATTTTAGAAGATAAAATTGATAAATGCTGCCTATTCCCGGGGCATGTGTGTATATATGTATGTTTGGGGAAAGGCTTGAATGTTACTAGTTCTTTGCTGGAAATAATAATTTTTTTAACTTTACTGATTATTCTACTACATAAAAATGAAAAACCAAGAATGTTTTTTTTTCAAAAATAGTTTTTGAAAACAAATTTCTTTTAAAAAATGTAATACTCCTGTTCATCAAAATGTATAAAAATAAAAGCTAGTTAGGTAAAGAAATAAGACTATCGCCAGGGAGATGGCTCAGTGGAATAAGCACTTCCCTGGCAAGCGCTAGGGTCTGAGTTCAATCCCTGGTTCCGCAAAAAAAAAAAAAAAAAAAATAAGACTATCACTAAGTGCTCCACATATGGAGAAATATATTTTATTTATCCCTTAGATATAGTTTTTTTCTAAATTTTTATTTCTTCTCTATTCATATTTATTTCACATGCAAACATTAAAATCTTATATAGTAATACTTGTGATAAACAGAAATGTAATTATCATCCTTAATTTTGGACTAATGCACTACTATTTTGATGCCTACTATTATCCTTTTCTTTTTTAGACATTTGAATGACTCAAAGATTCATTTTACACTGTGATATTTAATTAAGCTAATGCTTAAGTGATGACTTTTTTTTTCAAAGTTTTATTAATAAACAGCAATGAGACAGTTTCAAATCAAATTGGAAGTACAGTTTCAAAAAATAATACACTGCATATATTCTTCTTAGTGGAAGTGATGACTTTTTAATGTGCGCCAAAGTCTGAGATGTGTATTAATTCTGCATATGTTATTTTTCAGAAAGAATGCTTTGTAGAGCTTGGCTTAAACACAGGACAGCTGGGTATAGATGATTCTACACAAGTGCCTCCTGGTTAGTATTGCTCCCATATGGCATATAATTAATAAATGATAAATAACAGTGAGTGTAAGGATTATCTTGCTATTTCTAATTTAATCGAGTAAATTTATGTATTTGAAAATTTAGTGTTTGTTTCTGATTGCTTATTGTTAATTATTGAATAGGATCCTGTATGATATATTTGTCAAAGTTTCACTAGAATTTTTCTCTTTTTATTTTAAATTCTTTAAAATAATTTTGGAAAGCATATGTATGTTGTTTTGTTGGGAGATTCTCCCCTAGCTTCATTCCTATTTCTCTTCCTGTCCACCATTATCTGTTTGCATTTTCCTGTCACTACGCTAAATGAACATTGACATCTCCCTTTAATAAACTTAGGCTTTTAAAATAGTGTGTTTTCTATCTTAATCATCCAGGCAAGTTTTCTAGCTTTGTTTTTTTTGTGCATGAATAACATACTTTTCACAAAAGACTTGAGTGGTATTTAGCTGTAATATGAAGAAAGTAAATTCACTGTAAGAGTATGGGAGACCAATATTGAACTGAACATGCTTATAGATGGGTTAGAGCATTTACTGTTCTAGTCTTTCCTCTGTTATGGATGGTTATGTGACTTGAATTAGCTGCACACATCTTTGAACCTAATTACTTTCTAATTACTGAGACAAAATAGTTAACATCCAAAGTTAAAGAAGGAAAGGTTTATTTCAGCTCACAGTTGGTAGAGGTTTCAGTGCATAGTCAGCTGGCTCCAAGGAGGTTGGCAGAGAGGCATCATAGTTCATGGTATGGCAGGCTGAAGGCAGCAAAGCAGTAGGCAACCAGAGGCAGCTTGTCTTTACCTATTATGCCATCCAGGCTACCAGCCTGGCACCAAGAACTATGCTCATGCCAGTCAATGGAGTAATTTAGTAGCACACACCTCTAACCCTGGTAGATTCATCCAGCTTTGAAAAGCCCCGCTTGTGATCTTGTGCAGCATGGAGGGACATCTAGATACATGGCATAGCAAACTTGTTTTCCTCTCTAAATATATTTGCTATTTCTTATTACTATTATAAAATTAATACTATATAATAGTTACTATTATGACTACATAAAGATAATACTAGTTATTTAGCACATACTATATTACATGTATCTCTTAGCAACTCTTAAGATACATATCATTTAAAATTATTTTATTAATGTATATTCATATATTATTTTCAAATATAAATACATATAAAATATGATTGAAAACTTCATTGAATGTTTAAATTTTTAAAAAATTATTGCAGTAAAAGACATATTGTCTAAATAACCCCTTAAAATCCTCCAGTCTTAAAACACACTTATCCTACTATTCTTTCCAATTTATGAAGTAGTTCTGGAGTCCTCTTTCATGAGTGTCTTTCATTCTGCGGTCATTGCTGCCTTGTCCTAAATGAGTTCAAAACATTTACCCTTCATGGTCCTTTCAGCTTTGAGAAAGAGCTAGGAGTTGCATGGTATCATGTTCCACAAATAAGGTGGGTACAGACGCACTGTGAGGTTTTATCAGCTGGCCTGGCCCTGGACAACATGTGGCAGCATTCTGTGTATTTTTGATTGCACCTCATAAAGATACCCACAAAAGTAGACCTCCAGAACTGCTTCAGAAAGTGGCAGGAATTATGGGGGAGGATTTTGAAGAGAAATAAGAGCAATATGGCTTCTATATTTTTTATTAGAAATTGAGAAGCTTCTCTTTTTTATAGAGAGAACAATCCACAATATTTTACAAAATATTTCAGTGTTAGTGATAAAAGCAAACAAGTTAAGGGGACAGAGCTGGCGTCACACTGATAGCTTACTCAAGTCTTAAGTAGGTAGAAGGATGTGTCCCATCACTCAAAAGGACCCTATGGCTCTTTTGGATGAGAGCAAATGTGGCACTGTATGATTTTCCAAAATTGGTAAAACAGAACACAAGTTGAGTCATAAAACTCAGTGAATTTCCCTTTTACTAAACTGAAACATCTCATGAACTGGCCTTTTCCTTTACCCAATTATTTGAACTTCCTATATAATAAGTATTAACAATGATAGAAAAGATTTAAGAATAAAAGCATCAACTCTATTATATTGGATAGTAATTATTCTCCCCAAAACAAACTTACATACTGATAAAATTCTTTTCAAAAATGTTCACTAATTGTAGCATCATTTATATTTTTTGGACAAATTTATTACTGTAGTTCATTATATCCTATCTGAAAAAAACAAATTGTCCTCCTGATCTTTTATAGTAGGACACTTAGAGCACTATGGGTTGTTCCTTGTTATGATGAATCCTGAAAAATTGCTATCAAAAATGTCTTAGCAATATGAGCATAAAAAGCAACTTTTATATGGTAAAATGCCTCTTATTATAGGTACATGATGATTCTCAATATCTAAGAAGAACAGGCAATATATGTATTTGCGAAAACCAGTAATCATTTTGGGATACATGACATGAAAATCAAAACATTTGTTCATTACAAGTTGTTTGAAAACAACATGTCTAAAATACACAATACAAAAACCTTTTAAAATATGCATAATAATTAGAAAATACAATTGAACAATCTTTTGTTATATGAAGAGGGAGAATATGCAATAGGGGTACATGTAGAATTCACCTAGAAACACCTAACAATGACAAAACAATATACAAAAATTTATTTTAATGACCCATTATATCCCACAACATAATAAAACAAAACCCCCAGGAACATTAATAAAAAAATTCATTGATCAATAAACCAACTGGCAAATAAATACTATATTTTAATTCTCCTATGGATCCAAAATGGTATAAAATTTCTCACTGCAAAATTTGAGAAAAGATGCTGTCTACTAAATTCCCACACTGTTGCTTACATCAAAATACAGGATTAAGTCAGCTTAAAATTTCTTCCTACTTATGTGCAAACATGAGAATATAGTATAGAATTCTTTATGCCTATTTTTAAAATACATTTTAATTTTTAAATGTTTTTATCATAGTCTGTAGGGACTTAAAGTTCAACATATCAATACTTGATGAAAAATACCTGTTCCTTATTATGCCTAAGATGTTTGATATGCAGACAGATAGTGAGGTTAAGCTTCACAGCCTATTGTTTGATAATAACAATAAGCTTGTCTTTTGGATGGTTAACAACCTAATTTTGCAGACCAAAATTAGAGAGAAAGGAGGGCTGCAAGGAAAGCCAACATTTTGGCCCTAGCCTTCTAAGGTCAATTAAGACTCAGGACATATGAGAATTTGTACTGTAATGTCATGTAACTTGGTAGTGTCCCAAATTTTCTGATCAAGGAGATTATGGGGCAAATAGGAAAGTGATCGATGATGTAGAGTGTGCCTAAGGAGAGTCACATGGAGAGAAAACATTTTCTCAGGCTTTCACAGAGAGCACATTGGCCAAGCAATGGCTGTGATTCATCCACATGGCTGACACTGACAAAGGTTCTACAATCTGAGGTACAGGATCTCAGGATAAATCCTGAGGAGATTTCACTGACCTTATCAGACCCAAAAGCTTTAACTCTTGTTGCATAGGTCCTGCTTTACCTTGGTCTTAACCATCCAGAAGAAAAGTATAAAAACGAAATATAGAAAGTAAAGCCATGCTGTTATGTTGAGCTGTAGGGGACTCAGGTCAACAATTTCTGACATTGCGAGTGAAACGGAAGACCTAATACTATTATGGGCTACTGGACTCTTTTAGAATATTTTGCTGAGTTTACACACCTATAATGTTCAAATAATGGAACTTAACAAGAAAAGGGTATACAGATGAATGTCCATTTTGTATCTGTATTCAAAGTGGTTAGGATAGATATATAGTTACATTCTCTTTATGAATAGAATGATTTGTTCTAATGGTGTTTGTAAATAGGATATCAAGTCCGCATCTTGTACAGCAATTAACCCCTAAGAAGAATGTATGCAATGTGTTAATTATTGAAACTGTCCTACTGATTTGATTTGAAACTGTCTCATTGCTATTTGTTTATCAATAAAATTATGGCAAAAAAAATTTCTTCCTAAAAGTAAACCTTACACTGGTACAACCATTGTGGAAATCAGTGTGGAGAGTCCTCAAAAAGCTAGAACTAAAGATTCCATTTGACTCAGCTATTCCTCTTCTAGTCATTTTTCTAGAAGAATTAAAAACATCATATCACAGCAATATATCTGTAACCATGTTTATAGCAGCACAATTTGTAAAAGTCTTGCTAAAAGGCAGGACAAGGTGGTCAATGTGTCAAACATTGGACATGCCTTAGGATTTGTCACAGCAGGACTGTGCAAACCAGTGACAGGGCCCAGAGAGGAGATCTAGTGGAAGAAGTGCTTGGAGCACCTTGTTTGTTCATGAGAGAATCTTTGTCAGGAGTTCATCTGGAATCTTGATCAGATTGAAGTTTGTTACTTTTTTGTTGGTAAAGAGCAAGACAATTCATGGACAGTCGAGTGTCTCACAAACCAGAGGAGTATGGTGTTTTGTATTCAAGCTATTTTCAACTTAAATTGTAGTACAGAGTTTTATTTCACCTTTTTTAACTTTGTATTGAATATTAGTATCAATAATAATAAACAAATTTCATTTTCAGGATGTTTTATATAATTTATGTAGAAGTGGTTTTCGCTTCTAAAGTATATTACTTATTTATAAGTTCTCACATAGTACAATATATAGAGGTACAGTGGTACCTCAGTTCACATACTTAGTACTTTCAAGTATTTTAAGACAACTGGAATTATTAAAGGATTTCCCACATTGCCTACATACACAAGGCTTTTTTCCTATGTGAGTTCTTCTATGCATTGAATATGCTAGGGAAAATGAAACTTTTCTCATTGCTTACATATGTTCTGACACTTCTCACTGTGATTTCTTTCATGTATATAATTATGCATATGTTTGCTGATTTTTCTATATTGCTCAGAAACGGGAATTTTCTATTGTGAGTCCTCTCATGTCTGTGTGAGTCACATTATACTGTTATTTTGTACTGTCATTTTTATGTTTGAAGTGAGTCTTGGTATGATTGAAGGCATTTTCACATTGATGTACATAGATTTTCTCCTCAGTAGATCTCCTTCCATGTGTTTACCTATGCATCCAAAATCTTCTCTACATTATATATAATGTCTGTCCAGTATGAGTTTCTTAATGTCTATGAAATGAACTTTACAACTGAAAAATTTCCTGCATTGCTTATATACATAGGGTTTCCCTTTACTGCAAGTTCTTTCATGTTTCTGACAATAACTATGAGTACTAGGCCGAGGAGATGGCTCAGTGGAATAAGCGCTTCCCTGGCAAGCACAAGGGCCTGAGTTCAATCCCCAGTTCAAAAAAAAAAAAAAAAATTCTATGTGTACTGAATGTTTTTATACATTTGTTATATACATAGGGATTTTTCCAAGTGTGAGTTCTTTCATGTACTTGACAACTACTAAGTGCAGTGAAAACTTTTCCATATTGTTTGCATACGTAGAGTTTCTCACCAGTATGAGTTCTTTAACATACTTGAAAATTAATATGTGTGGTGAAAATTGCCACATTGCTTGTATAAATAATGTTTCTCTTTACTATGAATTCTTTCATGTACTTGACAAAGATTATGTGCATCAAATGCTTTCTCACATTGCTTATATACATAAAGTTTCTTCCCAGTGTGAGTTCTTTTATATGTATGAAGTGAACTGTTATATGCAAAAGCTTTCCTACATTTTTTACAAATATGGGGTTTTTCTTCTGGCAATAACTGTGTGCTAAATGCTTTTCCACATTGCTTACATACATAGGGTTTTCCCCAGTGTGCATTCTTTCATGTACTTTACAATATCTATATATATCGAATGTTTTCCCATATATTCATGTGCTTTCTATTAGTGATAGTGCCAATTTTCCAAAGACTTATCAGTTTACAGTCCCACCAGCTTTGTATGATAAGTTAATTTGCTCCAAACTTTTTTTATGTTAGAATTATGAGTATTTTCATTTTCACCTTTGTGGTGGTTGAATTTCATGATAATTCTAATTACTGTTTTCTGACAACTAAAGTTATTGAGCAGCTTTTCATATGTTTATTACTCTTTAAGCCACCATCTTTGCCTGTTTGTATCTGAGAGTTTTATGCTTGACAGTTGTATGTTCTTTATATGTTCTCAATGTGAACCACATATGCATATTGCAAACAGAATTTTCAGTTCTGTGACTTACCTTTTTATTCTCTTAATGGTGTGTTTTGGTAAACAGTTTTTAAATTTTAATGTGAACTACTTTATGAATCTTTTAAAATTATTATTGATACTTTTAAAATAACTAATACTTCCCATGAAATATCTTAAATGGCATTTATACAGTGGACTTTTACCTATATAAGATATGCTATTATTAAATATACTTCAATGCTAGATTGCAGAAGTTAGACTTTATAAATGAAGTTGTCATTAAATGTTGGCATTTTTAAGAATGAAACGTGAATATACAGAAATATTTTGTTATAAAAAATACTCATCAAATAAAAATTATTACATCTTTTTTCTTACAATTAAATGTATGAAAGCTCATTTTTTTGAACTTTCTTTTCAGATAGGGTTTCACTATATAGTCAGGGTTAGCTGCAAACTTGCTGTATAGCCTAGGCTGCCCACTAATTTTAAATGTTTTCCACTTCAGCCTTTTGAGATAAAGAGATGTAATATGCTGAAATTGCAGTTATGTGTCCTGCATCTGCCTTCGACTTACTTTAAAATCACTTATGAAAAAGATTTTTCTATTTATAGGATAAATACTCTTATAGTTTTCTATAGAGCCATACAACTTTAAAAATAATCACAAATATCTATCCCAAAACAAAAATTCCCTGTAGTTCTAATTGTAATTCTTCATATTTGTACCTAATAGTTTTATTTTCTTTTATTATTTTTAGAACTTTTTGAAAGCGAGCATGTGCGTATTGGGCAAAAAGGTAAGCTTTTAGTTCATCTGGAAAATCAGGAAGTTCTACATAAATGTCTCTATAAAATACCCCTAACAAAATTAATATCTGAAAACCTAAAGAGGAGTAATATTTAATTTTGTAGATAACCTGATAGGAATATTTATTGAAAAAGAATATACATCATTGTAGTTTTATCAGTGAATATCAGATAAAGAGATGTATAGCTGGTTCCCTGAAAAGAAAATTCAGGGCAGTAGAATTACATTTTGTAATCAAAGAGGGAGGTTTTCACTTTGATCCACCCACGTACCTCTCATTAGTGTTAATGAGATATGTTTTTGTATCAGGAAGGAATGTAACTATAACAGTTCTCACTGACTATTTACAATGGTAGAAATTAATTACTGATGTAGCTCTCCATACCTTGAGAATACTTTTTCACCACCTTTTGAAGATTTCTCGCTCTCTCTTTTTTTTTTTTTAATAAATCCTGTTTTGTCTTTGAATTATGAAGTGCTGATAAGTCTTTCTGTCACAGTGAACCTTCTGTGACAATTAAGTCATGTACCAAACTCCTTAGTTCAACTTTTCAAAATTGTATTTATTGAAGATTTCATTTGTAAGATTTGACACTTTCATTAAACACAGTTGCTAATTAAAAGATATGTCTCATCTCTGTTTTATATGATCCTTTTTTTTCTAGTGATGCCATATTCGGTATATGATACTTTTCCCTTTTAGAAAGGAACAGAAGACTATAATACTATTAGATAAACACTAGAAGTTGTCTAATATGTCTTCTGTTTTATTTTGTGGGCCTTTATTTCCAGACTGATGAGCTGATATTTTCACAAAAGAAATTAAAAATGAAAATGAAATATAATAATTTTATGAACCTGACTGCTTCAAATAATTTTGACACTTGTGAAAGTTTATATCTGTACTGTTACTTCATTAAAAATCCCTTTTCTGTTGATTTTTTTCAGATAGAAAAATGGGTTCTATGGGAATAAATATCTGTTTTTACAGTTTATGACTATTAGTTGTGTTGCTTCATATACTGTTCTACATTCAATTCTAGATGGACTCATGATTTTATAGTAGAAAATGTAAGAAACTTAAAGGTTCTGTAGATGGGACTGCTTGATTGCAGAATCCAAAATTTTCTATAGCACTAGTGGCTTCAGATCCATGAGCTGTTGTTGTAGCAGAATCATTTCAAGATATGAAATTGAAGGCCTGGGGAAATAGCTCAGTAGGCAAGCTCAAGGACCTGAGTGTTCAATCCCTGGTTTCGAAAAAAAAAAAAAAAAAA